CCAACAATTTATGGCTGTTGCATCATGACAATGCACCAGCTTACACGGTACTATCTGTGATGGAGTTTTTAGGCAGTAAACAAATAACTGTATTGGAACACTCTCTCTACTCACCTGATCTGGCCCCCAATGACTTCTTTCTTTACCTCAAGATAAAGGAAATATTGAAAGGAAGACTTTCAATATTTCAATTTTTGATGATATTCAGGACGTCAAAGGTAATACGACGACAGCTCTGACAGCCATTCCAGAAAAAGAATTCCAAAATTGCTTTGAAGAGTGGGCTAGGTGCTGGCAACGGTGCATGGCTTCCCAAGGGGAGTACTTCGAAGGTGACTGTAATGATATTCAGCAATGAGGTGTGTAGCACTTTTTCTAGGATGAGTGCAAACTTAATTGTCCGGCCTCATATCTGTTGAGTAAATTTCCATTTGTGGGATTGCTGGGTGAAGGGCGAAGCATTTCTAACTTTGTTAGATCCTGCCATACTGCCCTTCATGAGATTGTACCCTTTATACATCCAGTGAAGTGCCTGTTCCTCTCAGCCTCTCCAGCAGATTATATTACTAAATTTTTGAATTTTTGTTACATTAGCGGGTAAAAACATGATATCAGAATAACTTTAATTCACACATCTTTTATACTGAGTGAGTCTGAGCATCTTTTTCTATGTCCAGGGACCATTGGACATTTTGTTTTACGTGGAATGCCTATTCATATCTTTTGCTTATTTTTCTGTTGGGTTTCTTGTTCTTGCTGGTTTCTAGGAGCTGGCTAGCTCATGACATGTCAGTGCCAAGCCTTCTTTATAACAGCATCTACACCCTCAGATTTTCGGCAGAAGGTTATTAAGCCTTCTTCCCTCCTTTTCTTCGGTGAGTATGTTGGTTTGCTGTCGTGCTTACAACCTCTCTCGGTTTCCCCTCAAGATTGGAGGGCTGAGGCAGGTGCACACGGGTGACGATCGGGTGGGCACCACGCCTGGGGCCGTCAGGAGGCTGGGGAAAACGTGCCCAGGTCCAGGTCAGGAAGAGCACCACACCAGCTCTGATGGTGGCGCTCGGGCCCCAGGCGGCGGGGCCTCCACCCAGCCAAACGGCAGGCCCAGGAAGGTCACCTACACTTAACGGGGGGAGGCACTGGGTCCAGGCCCACAGCATGGGCAACCCCCTCCCATCTTGCGGAGAAGCACAAGGGCGACATAAAGTTGGTCGGTCGTCCCGAGCCCAGGAACAGGGTTTCCCTCGGCTCCCCAGATCCTCCGAATCCCACCTTCATCACCCTGGGCACCAGGGCCAGACTGCTTGAGAGGCTGTCCACCGGCGGCGGGAGGATGCGAGCAGAACCGACGTCTCACGGCGGAGCCACAGCGCTCTGGGGCTCCAGCTCTGCAGAAGCTGCCCCTGCCCTCCCCCGAGCCCTCTGGGGCGGGAGTGGAAGCCGGATCCCGCTCTTTCGTTTTCGTTTCCCGGAAGGATAGTGATTACCGGAGCGCCCTGTGCGCCTGCTCGCCCGGGAACCTGAGCGCACACTACACGGCACTTAAGCGATTTCCTCCCACGAGACCTTCCAGTTCTCCGGGCCAAGTTAGGGATTTGGGAAAGGAGGGTCTGAGAGCGCCGGCTTAGGGCCCAGCAGCGGCAGGCTTTGGAGCGCTCATGACGACAGCCCAGTGGCTCCCTCACCTCCACCTGTAATGCAGGTAAGAGCTTGGCAGCTGAATCACACAGCGCGGACGCGGAGCCACCAGCCCACCAGCCCTTCTCCACCACCTCATTTTCCATATCCAGTTTATCGGAACTTTCCCCCCCCCCAGCCCGGCTGGAATCTCGCTTTTCCACACATTCCCAAACCTCATCATCCATCCCTCACCGCCCCTCCCTCTCCTCCACCTCCCTCATCTCCAGCCCTTCCCTCTCTCTCGTCCTGAAGCTCCTCTGTGCTGTGTAATGCTCCTCCTCCTCTCCTCCTCCCCCTTACACCAACCAGATGTGAAGCCTCTGGAAGTTCCTGCACAAGCCAGACCCTTACAGCCGGCACACAGGTCCCCCTTAGCAGTTTCTCATCTGCCATATTTCCCAGCGAACCTCAGAACCGTCCCACTCCCATCTCTCCAAGATCCATATCTGTATCTTATCAGACCTTTCCCTGGCCTTCATGCCAAAGCCTAGAGCTCTCTCAGCCTCAGCTCCCTGGCGGGCACTTCCCAGTCACAGCTCTGGAATTCCCCGTTCCTCCTGCCAGGAAGAGGGTGGAGTAGACAAGGAGCTTCCTGGTAGTCCTAGGTCTTAAGCCCCTCTCTAGCGTGGCAAGCCCCTACTGCCAGGTGACAGCCTCTGAGCCTGGGTTACCTGGGAAACAGTACCAACTGGGTGTGTGTGTTGAGTGTGTGTGTGTGTGGGGGGGTGTCGGACAGAAATGGTGGAAACTACCCCCAAAAGGTGCTGAACCCTCTTCTGCAGTGGCCAAGGCTTCTGGAGTAAAAGATCTAAAATCTTTTACTGATGATTGCCCTTCTCACACCAAGAGATGAATGCCATGCTCTTGAAGATCCTAGAGTGAGAAAATGACTCTTGGTGGGACTGGTTTCACTTTTACTTTTCACGATGTGGCAGCCTGTGCCTGGGCATGAGCCCGAAGGATCCTCCTGTTTCTACAAAATCCTGTCACTTTTTTCATCCCCTCATCCTGATGGATGAGCCAAATTACCTCTAGGGGTTAAGCTGATTGTAAAATTGTAATGCTACAGACCTCCCTCCGTGGGACTTTGAGGTTCAGAAATTTATCCTTGTTTTTCTTTTTTTAAGGCAGTTTTTTACTTGTAGTTTAATTGTTTCTGATTTAAGGTCTTTTTATCCTGACTCCTCAGTCCCCTGTGTCCTCTCACTAAGGTCCCAGTGGGTATTCCTAGGCCCTTAGATTTCCAGCTTGCAAGTCAAATCTGGGAGGATAATCTGGTTGGGTTAGGCACATGGATGAAAAGCTTGAATTGGAAAGATGAAATTTATCGTGTCCACTGTGTACAAGATGTTAATGGTACCAAGCTGAAGACATACACGGTTCCTATCCTTAAGGTAGATACAGAGGTGGGCGCCCTTTCTGTTTGATTAAAATTTGTAATACATTTACGGGTGACTGAGACTTCACCCAGACGTTCATCTTCGACTGCCCTGGTTTTTCCTCTCTCTAGGAGGGAGCATTGGTGGGTTTTCCTGGGAGCACCGCGGCAGCCACCCCACCCCCAGGCACCCAGGCCCAAGCCAGATGTGAAGCTCCAGTGGATCTCCTGGGTGAGGGGGAAATCTGCAAGTTGCCAGGAAGACTCCGTGAGTAGAGGGGAGCAGAAAGGCTGATGTGTTTAAAGGACATAAATATAATGCATAAACCCTTTTTCTCTAAGGAATTAACATCCCTCCATTCGCTACTTCTTTGCTGGGTTTTCTTTATTCCTTGGTGAGGAAGGCAGAGGAGGTAAATGTGAATTCTCCTTGCAGAGAATACACTTGACACCGTCAAGTGTGAGGGTGGCAGTCTCCTCATTGATAAGATGATAAGATGAGAGTTGGGGTCGGATGAGCTGTACGATCCAATCTAGCCTAAAGACAAAGAGTTGGGGACATTGCCAGTTTGGAAGCCAGATACAGCTAAACAGTAAACAGTTGTATGTATGTAAAACACCCCTTTAAATAATTATATTTAATTTTTATTGTTACAAAAGTAAAATGTGCTTATTGTAAAAAATTGGGAAATAACTGGAAAGCATAAGAAGAATATATATAAAACAATCAAATCCACCCAAATATAACCACCGGAAATGTATTGGCCATGGCCTTTAACTTCATTTTCTTAAGTAATGCATAACCATGGAGCAGGCTGTAGATTAATATATGTATGCCTGTGTTTCAAATGGCAGAGCTGAGAGGTGGAAAAGCTAAAGTGACCTGTTGAAGATCACACTCTTCCATGCTCTCCAGACTAAGGCAAAACCTTGGTCCTTCTGATAATTGTCTAAGAGGTTTTTTAGTGCACTTCCTAGAAGCCATGGAAACCATGGGGTAGGCTGGCAGGATCTTTAATCTGGGTGGGGATCTTAGGGCAGTTGGGGTAGGCAGGTGTGACCTGGGTTGTAAAGCATCCAGCCACTTCCTGCTCGGCTGGCCCAGGGACTGGAAGACTGCTTGATCAACCCTTCTGCTTTCCTGGCCACAACCTGATTTTTGAGGCGCTGGCAGGGCTGAGTAGAATATGGGGTATGACTGCACAGGCCTTGGGAAGACCTTGCTGCCCCAAGTGTCCCTGCTGTCCCCTGCCTGGCATTCTTGTGACGGGGAACAGAGCATGTCTCTCCATGACTAAAGGGAAGGTGGGGACTGAGACAGGGAAGATGCATGGATAGGAGAGACCCCCAGAGTGTGGAGGTGGCTCCCGTTCCTCAGAGCAGGTGGCGGGAAGTGACAGCATGTTTTGAGAAGATGGGCGGGGAGCTCTGTAAGGAACCTCTGTTGTTTCATTTTGTCCAAATGCCAACGCTGGCCAGTAGTTTGGGGCTCAGGGCTGCTCCAAGGAGTTATCTGGCAACAGTTACACAGAGGTTAAGATTTGGGCTCCATTCCCGGCCCAAGCCATGGTGATGAGGAAAAACAGGGCCCTGGGGACAGATCTGAAGACCCTGAGTGTTGCTGCCAAGCAGGACCTTGAGGTCATCTAATCCAGTCCCCTCACCGCAGCTGAGAACCCTGAGCCTCAGAGACGGGGTGGTGGTGGTGGGGGGGCTTCTCTTCGGGTCCCATAGGGCCCTCTGGATTGTCTCCCCCATATTCAAAGACCACTCCCACAACCAGCTCACCAAGGCCTAGAATGTCAAAGCTGATAAAGACCCTAGATGTTACCTCAGGTAGCTCCCTCATGTTCCAAATCAGGAAACCGAGGCCCAGGAGATTTGTTCTGCCCAAGGTCAAGTACCCTTCAGTTCCTTCCTTTCCCTTGGGTGCCTAACTCAAGGTTACTGGGTGAGAGGGTACAAGAGGACAAGTGGGGATTTAGAAAGTTCAGTCATCAACTTGGTAAATACAATTATGCAAGCCTTTTACTTTTTTGAAGTCCCCTTCAGTGGGGCCCCTCTGAGATGGTCAGCAGGTCTTCCTGCACATTTCTAGTGACAGGAATTTACTCCCCCCTTGAGCCAGCCTGTTCCCTGGTTACTCAACCCAGAATACAGGGTCACTGTGACCTATTTAGAGCTTCTGAGGTACTAGTCCTACTGCCTTCGGTTAAATTTCTCCAGAAGCAGACCCCAAAATACATCCCCACAGAGGAGAGAAGGAATTCAAAAGAGTGTTCTCTCAGGCCACTCAGCACCGTGGGAGCTGGAACTCAACCCCAGAGGGGACCTCCAGGGGACAGTGAGAGCACACCCTGAGTCATCCCAACCCAGGGGGAAGGAAGCAGTTATCCACCCACATCCCATCCTGAGGAGGTGAAGGCTGCTTCCAGGGGTATGGACTCCCCAGCTTTCCAAGTTGCCCTGTTCACTGGCTGAGTCAGGCACAGAGCCAGGTGCAGTGTTCAACATTTGCCCGCTTTCAGACTGTAGCGGTTGGGAGCCAAGGGCCGTGGCCGGGCACCAACAGCGTCTCCTATACTTCTCATCTTTGATTCCATGACTCATGTTTACTTCTGAAAATATTCAGACAACACTGTTCTGGCCCGTAGTTAAATAGCTAACAGTCTTAAAAGATAAGGTACACTAAATGACTCATTTTCCTGTCAACAACATCCCAAATAAGCGAACTGCTGACACCTAATGAGAACTTGATCTTTCAGACGGCTGGGTAATGTCAGCCCCAATTCGAACATTCCTGGAAATTGGGTGTCCATTGCTGGGCATCTCTCTCTCTGATATTTATTCCCAGTAGCTCACCCCCTCCCCCTTCCACCTCCAGCTTCCATTCTAATCAACAGGGATGATTTGCCTCAGCAGGGAGGTAAACAAACAAAACAAATCTGGTTTAGCTTTGTGAGTCAGCGCCAAGGGAAGCACACAAGCTAGTTCCCTGTGGAGCTCACTTCTCTGTGTTTATTTACCTGACAAAGATGTGCAGTAGAGCAGTGGAAAATCCACCCCCAGGATGATCATAATGTCTAGTGACAGGAGGAGGGTTGGGGTGGTGGGGCCCGATCCACAAGGGCTGAGTGCTCCCCACTCACAAAAGGAGACTCATGGGTCCCTCTGTGGAAGTGGAAGAGGATTTGCACCTCCCCGCCCCCTTTGCGACCCTGAGTGTCTGCCTGAGGCTGGGGCGAGTCAGAGCTATGAAGGCAGTATAGGCCCTAGGACCACCTGCAGGACCCTGGCTGAGGCCACAGGGGAGCAAGTCTGGGAGAAGGTGATGTCACATCAAGGGACAACTTTGGGGATTTTGAGAGGTGGGAGTTTAGAGGTGATCACCAGCACAGCCTCATTCAATGACAGAGAAACTGAGGCTCCTTGAGTGCAAGAAACAGCTGCGATGCTAACGGCCAGATGTGGCCTCAACCCAGGACTCTTAATTTTTGGTCCTCAGTCTCTTCATTTTCCGGGAGCTTATTCCTGGAAACAAAAGCTCTGTGAACTTCCCACTGTCAGAGGTAGAGGGAGTGAGATAGCTTTGTGTTTTGACATTGACTTTCAAAGTTCCTAGTTGTGACTAAGCCACAGGAAGAGACAGACATAGAACAACATCACGTCTGATTTTCAGATGTCACAGGCAGTGGGATGGCACCTTTCTGCAACTCCCTGGCAGTATAACCAAGGGGAAAGGGCCCCCGGGAAGCTCCAACAGAGTTTTCATGCCCCTACTCAGGCAGGCTTACATTTTCACTTATGAGACAGCCCCAGGCGCTTATTTTAGTAGATACAGTTCTACTAAGGGCTTTTCTTGGGAGCTTGTGGAAATGCAGATTCTGGTTCAGGAGGTCTGGGGTGGAGCCTAAGATTCTGCATCTCTAATAAGCTCCCAGGTGCTCGCTGCAGCAGCTGCTGGAAATGCAGCCAAGGACCTCATTTTATGCAGCTAAATCCTAACCAGTGATTTTCAAAGTGCTGGTCAAGACTCATTAAGGAGGTGAAATCAATTTAGTGGGTCAAGATGTGAGGTGTGATCAACAAATACGGTGAATGTTTAAATAAAAAAGTTTATTACCATAAAAGACACATTGCCATGAATCCCCCTCGAAATACTCCCCCCCTGCTTCAAACATATTTATCCCATCGTTCTTGCCACTTCCTGAAGAAGTTCTGGAATTCCTCTTTCGTGAGTGTCTTTACTTCGTCCTCCATCATGACAATGCTCGTGTCACGCATCTCTTCTGGTACATGGCAATTTCTGTCAAATAAAAACATTACAGTGTGTCTTCATCTATCTTATTCACTGGATCTGGCACCGTGAGACTTCTGGCTCTTCCCCCCAAGTCAAAATGATTCAGGACATCGAGGCAGCCACGCCAGCACAACTGAAGACACTCACGAAAGAGGACTTACAGGACTGCTTCAGAAAGTGGCAAGAACGATGGGATAAGTGTGTTCGACGAAGTAAGGGGGAATATTCTGAGGGGGATTAATGGCAATGTGTCTTTTACTATAATACATTTTTTTATTTAAACATTCATCTTATTTGTTGATCACACCCATAGGTGTTTTTAAAAACTGAAATAGCGTATATCAGAGTACAACGTAAATAGTAAAGGTGATTTCATGAACACTTCGTTTTGGTTATTTATATATACATGTGTGTGGGGGGTCGTGATATAAGACATATTTTTTTTACTGTGGGTTGAGGTTAGAATGGTGTGAGAAATGCTGCCCCAGATCATGGCATGTTAGAAGCAGTAAGTTAGATGAATGGATGCAAGTGTAAAAGAGAAAGGTGGGGTGGAGTGGGCAGGATGGAGACTAGAAGTGAAGTTTCTGGAAGCTGTGAGGACCGACAGTGGTGTCATCACCTGACAGTGAAAGGGAATCTGGGAAACAGCAAACAGATGGGAGATTCCCAGAACTAACAACTTGAGGATAAAGAGCCTCCCCTCTAAACTCAGTGCCTGGGCTGGGCCATACGCATCTTTGTGTAAGTGGAAAAGACTCCTCATTTTGGAAGAAGCCAAGCGAAATGCTGGTTGGGTTTCATCCCCACTCTCCCGCTGGTCCCCTCAGGTGGTGCCTCAGTGCAGGACACAAGACCACTGTATGCACTGGCCCTGCACCCACAGTCTGCTGATGACCGTACAGCTGAGTGTGATTACCAAGCAAAGCAGACCTGGCCCAGATAACCAGGGCAAGCAATGTAGTGAC